TTATTGTTCTTGTTTATCTATTACTATTACTATTATTTATAACACATCAAATGGTGTAGAGATAGTATTTCCACTGATAATGAATCAATGTAAAGGCAGGCAATCATTCAGAAATTCTTGGTTACTTTACCCCTAATGCTAAGTTGTACAGCAAAAACCAAAAGATGTAAGACAATGATCATGTACCAGAACTTAGCTTTTCATGCAAATGAACATCAGAATTCTGAATATAACTGAAGGTACTAATAGAAAATCCATCTAACAATGGTGAAACTAACTGGTTTAGAGGAGGTCTACTAAGTGAACAAAGCTAAATGTTAATGAAAAAGGAAACAACCTACTATATGCTTTACTTGAGTCGAGGGTCTATTGAAAATAGTCTATCTACCTTCACAATATAGGGGTAGGTTGTGTACACCACGAAGCAAGAGTTTTGGGCCATACTAAAAGGGATTCAGTAGCATTTTGATAAATCTGTGTTATTGCAAACTGAACCTCTTGGCCTACCTGCTCAACTAGTCTCATGTGGATGTAAGATTTGCCTCAATGTAATTTCCACCAAGCTTACACTCAAAGTTCAAAGAAAACATCATATGAAGACACTTAACTCATGGTAACAGTTGGGCCAAATAACACAGTGGGCTTATAAAAGATGCAAACTGAAAGGCTTGGAAGTTCCTCAACAAAGACTTACTAAGGAAGACCAGAAACTGGGAATTGTAAGTCATTTTCAGAATTAGAAGATCAAGTGAACTAGACACAAATTTCTACTCATAATGGCATTAGAGGAAGAGGTCAAACACGTGGAAATTCTTTTTTTAATTTGGGTGGCAGTGATATTCAATCTCAGTACCTCTATCTGCTCTGATGTCATGTTAAAGTGTGTGGTTATCTCATCTAAAAGCTTAAGTTATTAGAGAGAGCACACTTTTATTAGTTAATGATATTCTCAACAACTAGTAAGACAAGACCTCACGGTTAGCGGATTCAATTGGCTCAGAAGATCAAATTAAGACTTTGACTTTCATAGTTAGATGAATTTTTACTTTTGTTGAGTTAAACTAGACTTGTATTCGTGACATGAAAAGTAGAAGCAAGAAGAGATAGAGGCCAAGCCTTGACTAGCCTAGTGAAATGATATTGAAAACTACATATAATTTTATGGAACGTTCACTAACATGAAGCACCAGTGGTCTAGTGGTAGAATAGTACCCTGCCACGGTACAGACCCGGGTTCGATTCCCGGCTGGTGCATAATATTTTTTCTCAGATTTTAATCGCAATTTTTTTAAAATCAAACACGTCATTAATAATTGTTTTAAAAAATCCCATAACTCTTTTTATAAATGACTAGTTAGTATCTTAGGGATAATATAACTTGAAGGAGTGAGAAACATTTATTTTCAACCAAATAAAATGTCATGTTTCATTAGTCATTTGTTAGGCATATACAAATTAAACCTAAGTTTGGATTTCATTTTTTTCCCACTTCCTACGTGGTCATTTGGTCTCCAAGAAAAAAGCTAGCCCCACACTATTAGGGGACCATTTCTATATAATAAGATTATATATATTATTGCGTTACTGATTAAAGTTCTCACTTAAGAATATCTTTTAACACTTTTTAAGGACCACTTACCTTATATTGCTAATTTTATTTATTTAACTTGTATATATATGCATCAAAAAAGTGTAAAAACTATATATCTACCACTGGTTTTTAATGCATTGGATTCCAATGCAAGACTTACCAACTTTATGTATGCTTTTAATTACCAGTACATATTTTGTCATTTTGAAAAATAGATTTTAGGGTTTGTTTGTTCCGAAGATAAGTTTTGACGAGATTAGTTTATTACGATATTATTTTAGTGAATGTTTAATTTGTTGCATTTGAAAAATAATAAGTAACACGGAATAATTTTTAAGGACAAATTATTTGTTTCACAAAAGTCCCCTTTGTCTGTGTAAAGAATATGAAAAGTGATATTAAGAAATGCCTGAGGACATATTTTATCATTTTAATTATCTCAATTTAAGTTATACCAAAATTATTATTTCACAATCTCGTAATATCAATTCGATATGATGAAGATTAATATGTGGAGATGAGAAGCACACTATTCGATACACTGTTGAAATAACAGATAGACAAATAAACGGAGATCGCATAATAGAAGGAAGACTAATAATTGCACCAACTGGCATACAAAGTTCTACATTACCAATTTACCGTTATTCCCTAACATTTTTATTTATTTATTTTAATCAACAATAATAATATATCAATATTCTCATAGTCAGATTCGACAAGATAAGTTATACGCAAATCTAAAACAATAATAATATATCAGTATGATTCCACAAGTTAGATCCGACAAGATAAGTTATACGCAAATCTAACTTTTATAGCTATAATATACTTTTGTCATTAAAACATATAACATGCCTATGTATTTGAGATAGAGTGATTATTTTCAATAAATGAAATAATGTATAATCATTCAAATATTTATAATTTATTTAATTTATCAATTTCAATTCCTTAATTACTTTATTAAACTTATTTTGCTCAAACACTATCACATAATATAGTCAGTGAGTCAATTGGTCACTTTTTGACAGAAGGGCCCTAAGTTGGTCTGAAATCATTATCAAGTGCATATTTTGCAGTTTGCAGACATCCACAGATACTCTAATATATATATTTTTTGTTATTACTATGATTCCTTTAAATTACGGGTATGAGTTAGAGCGTTTTATTTAGCATCATAAAGTCTGAGCTTCATAAATTAAATTTTACTATTAGTATTTTTTTTTTTTGTCATTAGTACTACTTTCTATTTCAATCTTATTATTTACTATCCTCTTCGATTTAATTTATTTGATGTTTCAATCAAAAATAAATATTTTATTTTACTTGTGCATATCAATTTTAAGCTTGGAATTCTTTAAAGGACTTTGAAGAAAGAGCCTCGGAAAAGAGCATTTTTATTATTATTCCAACCTCAATATAAAATAAAGGGAAAGTTAATACATATATCTCCGAACTATCGTAAATGATATGAAAATATCTTTCATCATATTTTTGGATATTAATACTTCTGCCGTCCAAAAATTAGAGCATATATACCCGTTATACTCCAATACAGAATTATTGTCCTTGTAAATTTTAGTTTTGTTTCGGCTGGAGAAAAAACAGAGGGCCCAAAGAAGGGAAGGGAGTGGTTAAGCAGAACATAGAGAGAGAGTGTGTGTGTCCAAAAAGCAAACAGAAAAGAAAAGATGAAAGAGAAGAGGGGTATTTATGGATGATGAAGAAAGATGATCCCACACTATCTCTTGTGGTAAATCCCACGCAAAGACACAACCTTTAAGCTTCCAAAGATACCATCTTTTCTTCACTATCTGTAAATTGTAATCTTGATTTTTCTTCTTTTGTGCTTCTGATAGTTCTGTGTGTGTTTATTAATGGTGGGTGGGTAATGTGTAATATCTGTATATCCAGCAATATTTAATTTGGTCTTCTTGGATCCACAAAAACATGTCTTGTTCTTTCACCTTCTCATAAAGTGCAAACATTTAAGGATAGTAGAAAAGAAGTTGTTTTTGTTCAATGGGGTTATGATGGACTCTTTCTTCTTCCATTCCCTTGTTGTAAGTTCTTCCTTTATATATGTATGTGTGTGTGAGAGAGAGAGAAAGAGATCTCTTTTCCACTATTGAGTTCTTGAGATTCAAATGTTTGTTGTTGTGAGCATTGTTTTCTTTTGATTGATTTCTTATGGGTATTCTCTTCTTGTTTCATTTTTTTTTTTTGTTTATGTGTTTTTTTCTTTGGATTGGCTATTGAGGTGTAGCTGTTGTTGTTGTTTATGTGTATTGCTTGCATGCAGTTTCTTAATGGTATACTCATTAGGCTGCTTTCTCCTTGCCTTGTCAATATAGCGTGTAAAGGCTCGTGATAACGCTCTTGTGGAACTAGGCTCTTTTAAGATGGTGCGAAAGAGTTCATCTTTACCGAGAAGATTGTCTCTTTTCATTGGCATTAAGCTCCAATGTAGTATATTTCCATGGGTTCTGTTGTACAAGTTTTTCTGAGAGAAAAAAGAAATCTTTTTGTGGTTTAAATTCATCAGTTTCTGTTTTGTAGTGTGTGATTATTTCTGTGTCTCATAAATTAGTTTTCTTTGTTTGATTTTATTCTTACAGTTGCAAAAAAATAAATACTTATCTAAGGACAGAAGGAGAAAACAATGATTGAGCTCACAAGACTAGGTCAATAATGCATTGGTTCATCTGAGTTGTTCTGCTTGTTTACATTAGCTGATTATTGAACTGTTTGGCCTGCTGAAAAAAATGTCTTCTTTCTTAATGGTGTCTTCACTTGACTACTGTAGGTTTATATATTCTTCCCTTTTATAGATTGAGAGTAAACAAAATTACATTGAGAATTAGCAATTTTGGCATGATATTGTATTTTGGGTTGCCTCTCTATATTAGGTCTTTAAGTGAAGCAGATCACAGAAAATGTAGTGAGAAAGTTTACTTATTAAAGCAAGTGTTGCTTATCTGATCTTGAACTAAGATGGCTACTCAACCAACAGGAATTGTCTAGTTTAGGATCATACAGTGCTATTCACATGGAATTCTTAGGTTAATAGACTGAGATCTATGATATTAATCTTGAGAATTTGATGTTGTACAACAAAATAATATGTTCCTTGTCATTTTGACAACAACATATGCTTGAGCTTCTTTATTGCTGGAATTTCTCACATTGTGTGTAGTTGGTATGAGATTGAACAGTGTGATCATTCTTTGTATGCTCTATAGATGAGAATCTGTCTTACCACTTGTTATTTCTTTTGCTTTATCTTTTACTTTTTTGTTGTTTTTTAAGCAGTGAAAGCATGGAACTACGGGACTTGGGTTGCAATGTATAAGGTCCTAGCAACAGTTGACAGTCCATAAATTTGTCAAACTCAATAGGACAATTGATTTAAGATTTCATTTGTTGAGAGAGCATAATGTTTGTTACCGGCGACTATGATCTGAGTTTATCATTGAAGTATAAGGAACCTGTCAAAGCCGTTTTCAAGGAGACAATATTCGGGCATGATCATACATTCAAGACACAGGTACTTAATGATACCAACTAGTTCAATTTCGTACAGTTTAAGAATATTTTTGACATAATTAAAATGGCGTGAATATACTACCTGCAAATATCATATATGGACTGCAGGTCAAATTAAGCAGCATATATATCTAAGAAAATGAAAAGAAGATGTGTGCTTAATAGTGGACAATATGTTCGTGTTCTTTTCTTCTCACCCACTTTTTATTATTTCTTTAGGTTTATGAACCTCATCACCTGTGCTACACACAAGAGGATACGATGATGGATTTGAGCTGGAAAGAGTTGGATAGAGCTTATTTTAGCAAAGGAGGCCAACAAGGAAATCCAGTTGCATTTGGAAATTTTACCAGATCACCTATGTCTGTTGATCAGAAGAGAATTTGCAGCATCCCCAAGGTAACTGAACAGGGAATTTTTTAAACGTGTCAAGAGTCTTTCTAGGTTTTCCTCATTTTTGGTCTTCCCTACTTTTTGACGAATCGCTTAAAGAGAAATGTCATGCTTAAGAAGAAATCAAAGAGAAGCTAAATCAAGTAGTTGTTACTTTGATATAGAGAGATAACATGTTGTTTTGGACTTTAAAAGATCTCTTAAACGCTTTACTTGATGGTTTGTTCATGTTATTGTTATATTTCTTCAGGTGTTCAACTGGTTACAAGAGAAGCAAGTCATGTTTCCAGGGTTCCAGCAACAACATTCAAATCCTCAAATTTGTCCCACTCATTATCTTGATCATATTGATAGGGGGAACTTGAATAAGAGACATGGTTTCTTCAATAGTTTAGAGAATTCAATCACGGAAAATCATTATTACCATGGTGGTGTAGCACATCATTCTGAGGAGGTTAATCTCTCGTTGAGCATTGGCAGGAACAATATGAAAACAACTGTCAGTACAAAGACCTTTGATCATATCATTGATTTAGAAGAATCAGATGATACTAGTGATTCTAATGCAGGACTAGATCTCCAGTCTCCTATGGATTCTACTCGTGTTTCTTATTCTGGATATAAGCGTGATTACCAATGCACTCATAGCTTCACAAACAACACTACAGATAATTGGTTTGATGGGACTACAGGAAATTATTTTGTTCCAAATGACAGCACGAGTTGTCTTGAGCAGAACCCTTTAGCTGAAGGTCTGATAGTTCTTTATCCTTCACTCATAGCTACAAACTTTAAATGCCAAATACTATCAGTATTATGTCATTTTGTGTTTATCTGATTTCTACAAATTCTGCAGGAGTTGAACAATGTGAGAAGACTCTCCTTTCTAGAGATATATCAGGAAAGAGCAAAGTTCTTTTTTCCGATGAACGAGCTTTTTTGGACCTTAACAAATCCATATTTGATGATTCTTTACACTTTGATGATCCTAGCTTGGCATGTTCTTCAAGTAAATCTTCCTCAAGAGAGTCACACGGACTGTCTGGTGAGCCTCGTGAAAGCACCTTTCCCACTGCTTGTAAAAGGAGAGAGCAAGATGATGACAATCCAAATGAGACTTCTGCTATTGTTCCCCAAAGAATTCTTAGTCCTGTGACTGGCAGCAACTGTTATAAAAGAACAAAAATTGTTGGAGTTGAACAGTTGATAAACCTCAATCATCCTCTTTCAGACAGTAGTGAAAATCCTGGCAGTCTCACTACTGACAACGATGATCAAGTTTCTAGTACACCAGAAAACAAAAGCAAGAAAGCCAAGCATGATCCAATGTCTTCTCCTGACTATAAGACTCAAGAATTTGTCAAGGATAGCGGTCCTGATAGATCGCTCTCGTCATGCAAATCTTCTTGTTTTGAGGACATCTCAAGTGGCATAGAGACATTGCAAGCCGGAACTCAATTGAAAAATTCAGGTTCTAAAAAATCTGAAACACTTCAAACAAATATATCTCCACGTCAGGAGGATGTCGACTCTTCCAGTAACAGTGATCACCAGATGGGAGAAACATCAGAAGTCAATGATCAAATCAGAAGAGGAGCAGTGTCCCTCATCTATCTTGCATTGGAATGTTCTGAACCAAGCGTTGTTACTAGCATGAACAAGATTGAAGGTGATCAAAATACAGAACAACCACAATGTTCTTCAGACACTTTTGAAGAAATGGTGCTCAAACAACCCGAAACCTCCATTGACGACTGTTGTGTGACCTCAAATGCATTTGAATTCAATGCCACAGAGAGAAAAGACTACGGAATAACATTAAAGAGAGGACGAAGAATGAAAGATTTCCAAAGGGATATTATGCCAAGCTTGGCAACACTTTCTAGGCATGAGATTTGTGAGGATATAAAGATTATGGAGACAGCACTTAGATCAAGAGAATACAAGAGACATAGGTCCAAAATGACTGATGGAAACAAGTGGTTCAATCCTGTAAGAAATAGAAGATCCAGACTCAACTATGTAGGCCGCAAGTATTCTTCATGAATTGTTGATTTCATCATTGATATTGAGGAAATTGTGACAAATTTAGCAAAGAAGATAGGATCAAAGAGTTGTTATGGAAGTTTTGACTCTTGACCATGATACTACTTTTTGATATCTATGTTAAGAGTTCAATTTCAAACCATACTTAATTTGTGCAGCGTCTGTGTTTTGCTTGGGACTGAGGCGTAGTTGTTGTCTATGTTTTGTCTCTAACTTTATTCTCCTAAGCAACTATTTAATCTTAAGGCTTCTAGGAGGATAATTTTGTTAAATGAAAAGATTGTCATGCTTGCAATATCTAAGACAGAGAACAGTGGATCATTTTCATTTCCACACTTAGTTTTGCTAAACAATCATTCAACTTGTTCCTTATCATTACATTTTTGTCTGTTGGGATATGTCTCAACTACTGGACTCCTATCCTTGTAATAATCTGTTGTCTCACCGTAATCTTTTCTTGAATTCTAAAAGTTAACTTTTGTCACTCAACCCTACAAGGGACCAACTATACGTTGTCTAGTCAGAATAGGAGAACACTCATCTTGGAGTGAGCTTACTACTTAGATGCTTTTAGTATTTATCTGTTATATCTTAATTGCTTGAGAGAGAAAAATTAGGTAATTGGATTGTTACGAGACCACTAAGTAATATATATAAAAAATTTATTTTCGTATGACTTGAGTAAAAAAAAAATAGCTTATTGGATTGAAATCTTGGATGATTTTTTAATTGGAAGACTCAAGTGATGATTGCCTTCTAGATTAAATCATTATGTCGCGCTATTATTAATTAAACATATCATTTTAGTTCAAGATGTGAGCAACTCAATTGGAAATCATGCATTTACTTTAACATTAGCAAAAAATTTATAATCATTTCTAGAATTTTTTCTTCATAAAAGAAGGTTGATGAAATAGTTTTAAAAAGTTATAATCTCTTAATACCATATATTAGTAGACTTGGATAATCTTACTAAGTTATAAATTAAATACCATATTTTATGAGATTGTGTACTTTTAGAGATAAATTTTTGGATTTAAAGAGCATTTAATGTGGCTTGTCGTGTTTTTTATTTACACGTTCCTTAAAAAAATATTAATACAAGTTCTTTAACTGTTTTATATTTATTTATGTAGTAAGATATGATTTCTTTATTGAATATTTACTTGAATTTACTTGTGTGTCATGATTGATGTGTTTGTAATTTTCAAAAATAATTACAAAAAATTAGTTTGTAGGTAAACACTAGTAGACGATTTTCTTATTTTTATTTTTACCTAAGGGTTGCAACTTAAACCAATCACTTAAATTCAGAATTTCAATGTCATTAATTAATAAATTAATTAAATAAAAGAGTTAACCTAAATAGCTTCCCACGAGACCATCTAAACCAAAAGCTAACAGATGTATAACATACATATAATGTCTATATAATATGTGTATAACATTGTATAATCAATGTATATTAGCTAGAAAAAATGTATACAGTGTTACTTCGCACCGGTTTAAATTTCTTGGGCCGGTCTTTTTTTCTCCTTCCCTACGTAGTTCATGGACCAACCCTTGTCCTACAATTTAGCAAAAATGAAAAAAGAGAATCATCTATTTTGATCTTAGAATTCAAATATCTCATGACATGAGTTGACGATAACCATATAACACATATATGATATACAAAGTTTCAAGAAAATCCATTCACTCCCAAAATCAATCACTCTAAGAAAGGATATACAATATAATTAAAAGATAGTAACATTATGCGTTAGCTACTTTTCATCTCTATAATTGAAAACACTCATTATCATTTGTCATGACGTTTCGAATCCATGATAATCGTGAAATTTGAAACTCCATGACTTTTTTTTTTCTTTTTTTTCAATTACTAGGAGTAAAAGGTGACTGACTACTTGTGATTTTTTTCACTATTGAAGGCCCCTATGAACTAAGGACAATTGATGACAAGATCGAGGAGTACAAAAAATGGATGGGGACAAAGAAAATCTAAGTAGTTATCTTACATCAAAGATTTGTTTGTCCCCTAGTTATTAGTGTAAACTAGCTAGCTGCTACAAGACAAATAAGAATGGCTTGTACACCTAGGGTTAGGGAGGCCTATTATGGATATTTATGTGTCCAAAATATATTGTTCTACAAAATAAAATAATTAACGTGCCAAATTTGGTTAAATCAAATGGCCAACCATATGATAATTCTGTGTGTTGTTGTGTCTAGAATGTAAGGAGTCTTGATTGCGCGTGAATATTCAATAGTTTGTAGTCATGTCTCAAGATGTAGATTATATTTGTACTGACTTTTCATGTAAAACAATAGAAAGTATATTTAGGTTATGAAGAGTCTTAATCATATAAATAGTTTAATGTGGTCATTGATATCTGATCTCAATCTCAAGATGTGTCCAAGGAACTATATCGAAGATATTTTCTATGTTACTATTAAAAAAATGTTAAAATTATGATTTATAATTTTGGAAACGGAGAGTTAATTTTACTCAAAAATTGACAATGTTTACTCGCCAACGGCGGCCACTTCTATTTTATCACTTCTGACGTTTGAATTGAATATGAAAATTTTGGTGTAGATTTTTTTATTTACAAGTTGAAGAAATTGTAATCTAAATTCAATTCAAATAATGTTTGGATTGAATTTTTTAGGTTCGATTTTGAATTTATTAGTTTGGGTATTTTAAAATTTTAATTTTAACTTTTGAGCCTTTAAGACAGATCATAATAATTAACAACCTCACTTCATTTAATAGTTTGTTGAATAACTTTCTACTATTAATAAAGATTGAGGTCATTGTGTCTCCCATACTGTATAATTTCATATTAGACACATGAGATATGGACAAAGCTGAATATAAGACATGAAAATTCCAAAATTTTAAATATATCCAAAAATCCATTGTACTAAATCCAATATCTAATTCGAAATCCATAACTTTTAAAAATAAAATCCAAAGTTCAATTCATGATCCAAAACTCTAAATCCACCTCTACTTCACACATTACTTCCCTTTCTTAATTCCTGCTTTATCTTCTACTAGTGAAACTATCCGCGCTTCGCGTGGCAATATAAAATACTTATAAGATAATAATATGAAATATGTAATATTTAGGTTAGTATCGAATATATAGATAATATTAATATTTCTCTTCATCTGCGATATCATAGGATTTTTCATTTTTTAAAACATATAAAATTTTTGTATATATATGTATATAGTAGAACAAAATATTCACCGTGGTGAAGTAAATGGAATAAGAGATAATATGTTAAAATAACAATATATTGTATTGCGTTGAAAATATTTTATATGTTTTAATTTTCTCTATCTTTTGTAGGAGTACTAATTTTCTATTCAAACTCTGATTTCGTCAAAACAAAATTGATTTTTTTATTATGTCCTTATTATTATATTTGCTTATTCTAATTTTTTAAACATTAATTAAATATTTATAAGATTTATGAAAAATGAAACATACAAAAGTTATGAATAATATTTAATATTAAAAGTTACAAGTAAGATGAAGAGACATGAGTTATAAATAATTCAAATGTATAATTTTATTAGACATTAAATGTATTACTAATTATGCATTGATTTTATTTGTAAAATAAATAAATAAAAATAAGGGGTGAAAATACAAAAAAATGAACAGAGAAAATATAAAAATTGGTGACTAATTATAAATACATTTCAAAGCAAAAAGAACGGTGACGAAAACAGATTGTTACATACGCAAAAAATGGCATCATGAAAATAATATTTTATTTTTCAATTACTTTTTTATAATTATAATAAAAATGAAACTCCTAATCATCATAATTTTTTTTGTTGTTGTTAAAATTAGATAATTATATTAATTTTGCTTCATAACAAAGAAAAAGTAGAATAATAAAGGATCAAATGATTAGCATTGACAATATAATACATTTAACTAAATTATTTATACAAATCAAAATTTAGAAAATTCTAGCAAAAGTAACAAAGTTGCTAATACAATTCAAAGTAAAAAAATAATTTCTAATTATGCTTCATTTTTTTTCCTTCTATCATCTTCCTTTGCAAGTAGATCCGCCGTCATGTTTTGATCCATATGTCAAACTCTTCATTATATGCAACCAACTGAATAAAAAAAAATATTATATACCAATTAAAAATAATTATGTCAAAAGAAAGAACGAAATTTAAACTATATGTAATGTATATGTGTATTATCTTTTCAATAGTACTAACAATACTAAATAATAATTATTTCTTGAAATCCAACAAAAATTACAATCAAACTATATTATATCCGGAAAACTAACTATTAGAAAGAGCAATTGCATACAAACAAAACATTGTTAAGAATTACATAAATTCTTTTTAATCATACTTGCTTGATGAATGATAATACAAACATTAAAAAATATTAAGAAAGCATGTCTAAGTACATAAAAATAAAAAGAAAGACTTGAGAATGACTTTGTATGTGAATCTTCATGAAAATAAATATGAATATATAGACAAAATAGAGGAAATGAAAAAATAAGGACTTGAGAATGATATATTTATCAACTTCATGTACTTTTTTTTGGTTACATGTTAGTTTCATTCACAAACCAAATAAGAATTTATATAGACAAAAATAGAGAAAATAAAAAATAAAAATTTGCAATGAAATATTTCTTACCTTCATGTACTTCTTTTTTGTTACAAACCAAACCAATATGATGAAAAGAGAAAGGATAATTGTGAATGTGAATCTTCATTAAACTAATATGAATTTATAGGCAAAATAAAGGAATACCATAAGACATCATAAACTTACAAATTTAAGTTTGGAGATTATGGACATAAAAATTATGAGAGTTATGAATATTATTAAAAGTAAAAATTAAAGAGGGACAAGTCATGGGTAATAACTCCTTGTGTATAAATTAAAAAATAAAGATAAAAATACTTAAAATGTAAAAAAAATTATTATCATTTCATGATTTGAAGTGAGATAAAAAAAAAAAATAGGAAAAAGAATGTGGAGAGTTTTTTG